ACCGACCTACCCACCTGCCCACCTACCGACCTGCCGACCTACCGACCTACCGACCTACCGACCTACCGACCTACCTACCTACCTACCTACCTACCTACCTACCTACCTACCTAGCTACCTAGCCACCTAGCTACCTACCGACCTACCTACCTACCGACCTACCTACCTACCTACCTACCTACCCCACCTACCTACCTACCTACCTACCTACCTACCGACCTACCTACCTACCTACCTACCTACCTACCTACCTACCTACCTACCTACCTACCTCTACCACCTACCCGCCTACCTCATGCATGCATGCAGGCAGGCGTGCATAATATACATGTGGAGACCCTGCGCAGTGATTGTGCAGCCAGATTTTTTTCGCCGCAAGGTTTGAACCGGCTTGGAGCTATAAGCCGCTCTAACCCGAAGCCTCCAGCCCACAAGCCGTAAACCCCACTCTTCGGTGCCCTGAACCATCTATGTACTTCTCATAGCTCCCCTTTTTGCACATCGACGTTGTCAACAGAGGTAGCAGCTTCGCGGACTTCTTGTTGAAGCCGGACAACAAGGCTGCAAGCTTTAGCTTTCCGGTTTGGAGGTGGGGTGCGAGGCACTTCTCAACATCTTCACTTTTCTGTTCAAGGAGCCTTTCAAGATCTCACGCAAATTCGAGGCATCGATTTGGGATGTTACTTTCGGGCCTTTGGTGGTAGATTCTGCCAATGAGGGAAGAGCCTGCGGAACTTAGGACCCAGATTTGGAATGTTGCAGGTGACTTCCGACTCCTTTCAAGTTGACATGTTATCCCCTAAACTCTGAACCCGAGACATTCTGAAACCATTGAAGGACCAGAGCTTGACGCATGGTGACGGCTATACCCAGGTTCAGGTCTTCAACTACCCGAACGCCCAACCCACGCTGCGCAGAAATTCCTATTACACAGCTCGCCGTACCCCTCCTCTCGACCCCGCAATCGTTGTTGGATTAGCTCGCTCAAGTCGCTAACCAGGACCTGCACAATCCTAGAGCCCCAAACCCAACGCTAAGACCCAGCCGTGAGCCCAAAATCCATCTGCACCTCCGATGCCCACGTGAAACATAACGTTCCTAAAGTGCCCCAATCCACAAGATGCAAGCGTAAGAATGGGTTCATGTTAAACACATACCCATAGACTTAATGCATCCGCTATGCAATCCGTTGCGCATGACCGGTGACCCACTTGACCGCCGTCTAACATCTCTACAACAGCTTTAGCGTTCTGCAAAACGCATTAGCGAGCCCAAAGTCCAAAACAAAAGGTGTCTCTCAACTGACTCGCATCCCCCATGCGAGGCTCTTGCTGTCGGCGAGCAGAGTGAGAGTGGCGTCGCCCCGAATTCGGTGTTTGTTGGGTTTGGGCCTTCGTCCTGCTCCTACTACTACCACGGCGACATGTTTATGACAACGACCACCTCGACTATGACGACGACGACCATGCTACCATGACACGACCGCGATCAAGACGATGCCACCACGACCGCGGTTACCACGACATTTACTTACAACACCGCTTCCAGTACGACTACCACTACCACTGCTACTGCGATTGCGACGACGACGACGACGACGACGACGACGCGTACTACTACTGCTAATTCCGCCGCCACCATTACCACCACTCCGACTTGCCACTACCACAACGGCGGCTGCTACTGCTACTCCTGCTCCTGCTCCGCCTGCTCCTGCTCCTCATCTTCATCGCGTTCTTCTTCTGCCACTACCGCCAGTGCTACCACTACGAAAGACGACCACTAGCATTGCCACGTTCTACTACTGCAACTACGACTCTTTCAAACATTAATAAACTGCTAAATATTGACGTCCAATATGATGTTGGCACCATTGCATTTCATGTGTTCATACAAGGCACCGGCACGCGCCCATGGGCAGCGGCATGGGGCAAGTTCTCACAGCAGGAGATTTGTGGGTGAGGGGCTTCGTGCAAGAACGCCATCACAGGGATTCTGCTTCGGATGCTGCAGGTGGCATATGGGTACTCTATGGCCCCAGACCCACACCCCGAAAGCCTTAGCCTTAGCCCCAAAGCCTAAGCGCGTACCTTGGACCTTTGAAAGTCCCGAGATAGCCCCACGTGGAAAACCCCCTAATTAAGCAGCCTCTAAGTGTTCGTTCGATTCTTCCGGGCCCTGGGAGGATGCCAACTCCGAAGCGCTTCGTCTCTCGGCTCGGAGTTCAGACCCAACAGGGGGGGGGGGGGGGGGGGNNGGGGGGGGGGGGGGGGCGAAGTTGGGTTCGATCTGGAATTGCTGGCTTTCTGCCGTGCCGATTAGTCTAGCCAGACATTCCAGCTCATGTTCAACCGTCCAAGTCCATCTGTCTTGTGTTTGACGGGCTTGGCACATCGTCTCCGAACACACTGTACAACGAACAAGTACGCAACAATATATTATATATCGTAGCATCTGGAGATCATCTGAATTGCTGTTCATTCGCATCCTTAGACCAGGAACTCATGCAAGGAAGTATTAAAAAGGAGGATCACAGTTTGCCATAAATCATACAAAGGGTTTGTAAGGGCTATGCGCCAACCGACCACGGTCTGATACCCTGTGCTACAATTTGTCGAACGGCGCTTCCACTGATCCCGCCGCATGCAAGTAGCATATGCATCCGCTATGAGCTTCCTGTCACCGATTAAGTTGTTTTCCAAACCTATATGTAGTCACCACGGCTCAGAAGAGCCGGAAGATCCGATATAGTGTGGCAACGAGTAAATGCTTCATAAAGAACGTTGAGCTATTCAAAATGAGGCTTCAAAGCAAACAGTTGGACTTACTTCTCCCACTCTGGAGTCCCTGGAGATGTAGCTCAGCTTCGAAGGTGTTTGTCGGCAGTACGGCGTGAAGTGCCGCCTGGTCTACGTGGGAAGTGGCTCAGTGACCCTCCTTGCAGCAAGCAGGCTTTATGAACTGCAGCTTGGGGTTTAACACGGTGTCAACTTTCTGGCTTTTCGTGTGCAATACCGCTGTTCGACTTCATGGCATGGCTACAGTATCGCATTTGTCGCAAGAAGAATAGCAACTAAGGCTAACTAAGTTGTCAGATTCAGCCACAGCCCCAAACTAAGATCATTGCACATCTCGCGATGTTTCGTCAGTCCGGAGACACTGGCACGTTCATGTGGAGCATTGTTTCAAGATCTCGGGTTGGGTAGCACAGATGCTTGGGATACATTCATTGCAAGGCTAAGAGGAAAATGGGATTCTGGTCAGCCGATTGAGGATCTCGGATTGGGAGTTTCAGTCTTTGGGACTTCAGCTCAACATCTCTGGCCTTTGCCAAGGGGCGCGTGCGAACTGTTGGAATGGATAGCTCCAGCGCAGACCAGGCATCTCGCGTCGGAGTTGCTTAGTCGGTTTCGTTTAAACAAACATGAAATATTTTTGAGACAACTTGACGGGTGCCAGCCTTCGCTGAAGACTCGCCTAAACTAATTTCAGGAAGTTGTCAAAGCGATTTCCCTGTAAACCCATCAACCTACACCTCAAGCATCCTCAAGCGGTAGCCACTTTGACCCCATGCCCTTTCCTGACACGACCACCGCGAGCCTCTACATCCGAACCCCAAAACCAAAGCGAGTTTATGGATTCTCGAGTCTTCGGCTGAGTGTCATGGGCGCTTCGGGGAGCGAGCACAGCCAGTGAAAGTGCCCTGACAGTAGCAAAAATGCTGGGACAACTGACATACTTCTGTGTCAGCACCCGCACCTACACCATCGCCTTGATCATGTGATCCTCAAGCCATGTCAGAAGGTTGTCATCTTGCTATTCCCCAACTTCGGACTGCCCATGCCAAACTTGAACCCTCACGTTCCTAAATCAGGTCTGTATGTGTGTGACAGAGTATGTGTATATATATATGTATACACACATACATATGTCTGTTTGGCGTGGACAAACACGAAAGACACAGAGTCTGTGTGTCGCACGCAGGGATTCCCTTAGACAACTGCAGCGCAGAGCGTCCTTTCCGTTCCGGGTTTCTTGGCAGACAGAGCGGTCATAAGGAGAACATCAAGAGAGGCCCGAAACGCTGTCAGCAGCCGTCCTCCTTTGCCACTCATATTGTGAATCTTAAGCATACTACCCTAAATCCCAAACCAAACACCCGTCATCCCCCTAGTGCTGCCTGAGCTTCGATGAAGGAGCGCACCTGGTGGAAAGACCAGTTCGTGAAGGGTGGCGAGCTCCCGGGCTTTGGGTGGATGCCACCGGTCGATCCAAAGAAGGTGCTGGCTAGTCTGAAATTTGGCTATGCTGGATCTCGTTTACGAGTTTAGGGTCTTGTAAATTAAGGCTTTGTGTTTTGTTGAGTTTATAGGCTTTTAAACGATCCTAGCATGATGCTCGGTGTAGGTTCCTTTCTGGGTACCAGGTCCGGAGTCCAGGGACCCTAAACCCTAAAGAAAGATGGAAAGGATGTGCCGTGCCGCGCGCCGCACGGGGTCGGCGGACAAGACTTTCCTAGGCACCCAAGTCGTTGTCCTTGGTTCTCGTTCAAATAATTACTGTATGACACCTAAGCATACGGAGTAATTACTGCCCTTGCCGTCGTTTGCCGCTTCTCTGGGGATTGCTTGCTTGAGAGGTGTCGGTGCATGACTTGAGCGGGGGCAGGGAGTGCGTCTACCCCCAATGCATTTATCCCCAATATGTTCAACCAAAGCACTGCAATTACAGAAGGATCTGCACTCAGCACATGCAGCTGCAAGCGGGAGGAGGGCAACAGTGCAGGTTTCACAGAATCTGATCTGAAGCGATAGGAATGCAGAAGATGTGTGAGTTTTTCCAAAAACATTCCAAGACGCGATGCTAGGGCTGTTGGGGCGCATGTCATCTCAACATATACGCGCCTCTCCGTGCGCACAGCCGAACGCTGCCCTACAGTCTCTGGGGTTTCAGGCTGACTTCGTCGTGCGAACAACTTGAGGCCCCACCCGAATACTTCATGTCCGAGCCCACTGCCCCACTGCCCCAAACCATCCCCAACCTCAAACTCCTGAACATCGACACATGTATCGACACTATGTCACGCCCGCAGCGGCCCAGAACTTTTTCTGCCCTGTATGAAGACCAGATAAGCTAGCATTTGCAGCGGAAAGCCGGGGGAGTTTCGGCATGTTTCTCGAGCCATTAGCCTGTAGACTTCTTTGTGATGTCACAGGCCTACCTGTTTTGTTCAAGCTTGTTGCATCTATCCGGGATTGCGTGGTGATGGGTGTTTCTGTCTCGGCATGGAGTTCAATGTGAGGCTTTCGCTGTCTTTCATCTCAGACGCAATTAGTACCAATGGTTGTTAACCTGCGAGGTTGCGGATAATAGCCGATCTGATGTTGAAGATTAGGAAGGAGAAAGCGATGATGATGATGACAATCATGATGATGATGATGATGATGATTGTGATGATGCTGATGCTGCTGATGATGATGATGATGATGAGTGTGTTGTTGATGATGATCATCATCTTCATGATGATCATGACGATGATGACACTCATGATGATAATGGTGATGGTGAGGATGATGATGATGGTGAGGATGATGATGATGATGATGATGATGATGAGGTCGATCATGATGATGGTGATGATGATGGTGGTTGTGATGGTGATAGTGATGATGGCGGTGGGGTTGATGATGACGATGATGATGACGAAGAAAGTGATGGTGATGGTGATGGCGATGGTGATGATGGCCACGGTGATGATGACGAAGATTATGACTGTGATGACATGTTGGCTGTTGTTGTTGCTGATGAAGATGAAAGCACAAAGTTCTGATCAATGAGCCTGATCCCAGACATATGCCAAGTATCCAGGTCCGCTATTGGTGGTGTAAGCCCCAACCATCCTTGCAGGAGAAGCTAGTTGGCTGGAAGACCATTACTGAGGGTAGCGAGCATCTGGGCGAGAAGAGGATCCGAGTCCCCGTCTTTGAGCCGGCTACTAGGATGCGATCAAAGATTCGAGCATCATCTTTAAATGGGTGGCTTCAGGAGTGCCAACACCCTAAACTGCTGTGCTTTTACAAACCGGCCGGCCGTCAGGCACCGTTCCGAGACTCCCGAACCCGAAAGGTCCGCACTGTCCTGTACTTCCGCTGCAGATACAGCATGACGTATTTTTGTGGTGTCATTGTCAGCATATATACTCGTGGGAGTAATGAGTGCTATTAATGGCAGTGGTGGTGGTTCCATGTAGTACTGGCCGTAGTCGCAGTTGTAGATCACATTTGACACACTGCCTTCCAAGTTGCACAAGCCCTGCGGATATCCAAAGTCCCGCATGTTAGGGGTGAAACTCAGACTTGGGGAAATCCGCAGTTCTTGACAGTGTCAGGCCTGTTAGGCTCTTCCGTTTCTTCTCCCATTGCAAGTCACAGCTAACGTTGCAGCCTAGTAAACGTTCATTGGGCTAGTGAAGATTGGGCATGGGCGTGAGACTTTTAATGCAAGCGGTTGGATTTAGTCACAATCCTTTCCCGACCCAGAAATCTAAATGAACTGGACGTACTTACAATTCCCATACCCAGACCCCAACTTCAATGCCGTCTTCAGCCTCTAAAGGGAAGCATTTTCCAATTGAGGGTTGACGACTGATCGAATCCTCTGTACCGGTCACGATTCTTGCCCCACAGTCATTGCATAAGCAACGTCGAACCCCACCCCACCCGAAATGTCCGTGTGTCTACGGGCGCTGTGCACTCAACCCACAACACTGCCCTGGTGCACAGGTTAAGGGAGGCATTCCCTACCTGTACTCGCCGGCAAAGCCGAGACAGCGGATATTCCTGAAGCCAAGCTGAAATTCGAGGGTTTCGGTTTCGGGGCCTGAGCCTCGGGTCCCGATGGATTACATGGGCCCCAAGAAAGGGTTTGTCATACTTCGAGGCGTCAGTGAGCGAATGGAGACCGGGACCCCCCGAGTTCCCCTCGTGCAGCGCATCTTTCAGGATACCGAATCATGATGGCATGTTCTCGTCTTCAGATGGCTGCACCCTGATCCCAGGCTCATCCGTAAGGAACAGCACAGCCCGAAGGCCTAACCCCAGATCGTAGACGCTGAACCCGAAACCTCAAATGCCGCCAACGCGACAACCACCCACACCCCTGAGCTCCCATCCTCAAACCCAAAACTACAAAGCGACTATAAACCCACATCGCCTGAACCCGTAGGCAAACACTGCACAACTGCTGCAAATTGCCCCCAAGCCTTTTTCAGGAAGCGCACCCCTTTCAAGCGTGTGGAGAGCTTGTCACGCAACATGCAACGGTCGCGGCGGTCGCAGCTGAGAGCGCCTGGTCTGCATGCCGGAGTTGAGCCTCCGCAAGGAATCCTGAGTTCAGTTAAGGAACTCATAGAGCCGATGGCTTGTCGGGCGTAGAGTTTAGGGTCTGGGAATTGTAATGGGGGGAGGTAGACAAGCTGCAGGAAGCTGTTGAGGCTGCCGGTCCGAATCTTTTGTAGAAGTGTTTTGATGTCAGCACGAGTTGCAACAAAGAGCTTCCAGAAACGCCTCGAAATTCAAGCCCAGGGTTTCTGATTAGAGGTCCGAAGTCCTTCTCGCCGTACTGCGCCCAAGCTCCATCTACAATTCAGTTAAGTCAGGCTACAACCACGCAGCTTCACATCCAGAGCTTGCGATATGTTTGAGTCTGCAGGGCGCAGAATATTCACTGCACGCCACCCAGGAGCATATCATGTCCCTCAACCAGCAAAACGACGGCTGGTTCAGCGCATCCGAGACTATGCGGAACATGAAGTCTTCCGGACGGGGTGAAATCCTGTAGACGCGATCTTGTCCTGGTGGCCCCAGAAGCAGACTCTCAGCAGCCCCGAACCTACTTATAGCATCACAGTATCGGGTTTTGCAGCCCCAGAGTGTTGACCGCCATTGGCGTGCATGTGTCTCGCGCCCTCTTGCGGCTTCTGGCGTTGAGGGCATTTTCGTGCGACGAACAAAAGCTAGTGCAGTTCTCCTGGCATCCTCAGGGCAGCAATGTATCCTAACAGAGTATACGGCTGAATAGAAGGGTTCTTGTACCGGTATATGAGCGGCTTCAAGCTTTGGATTCGATGCTTTTATCGGAGCATGCGTCGTCCCTTCATGTTGGCATGTTCGGCTGTTGAATGTTGTTGTTGACATTGCTGCAGTGGGGTTGTGCAGAATGCTCCACACTTTATGACCGAGACTGACACACTTGAGGTTTCGATCTTAAGCTTAGCACAGCTCTCCACCCGCAGCATTACGCCGTCAGAACAAGCCCTAAAGCCTCGCGACACGAGTACTGGAAGTAATGCTATAGTACTAGTAGTGCCAGTGATAAAGGTACTACCACTACTACTACTACTAC